AGGGAAAGATGGTTTAAATCACTTCCTCAGCACTCAGCATGCCGAGACAATGAGTGAGCTTGAGCCAGAATACTGCAGGTTTTATTGGCTAAGTCTTAAAACAAAGCAGGATCCTTAATAAAGCTTTAGGATTACTCTTGGAATTCAGCAGACCAGATGGTATACATCAGCACAGCTATGTAGCCAAAAAACAAAATTTATGAAACTGTTTCTACTTCTAAAGAGGTATGCCTTAGTTTGGTATGCCCCAAAGAAACACATTCAGGAATATTCAAGGGACAGGAAAAAGAAGTGCAGATTTTCAAACTGGGACAGACCCACTTGTACTTCGTACCGGATTTGAACAAGAGGTGCATCTACCCCCCCCCCCGGTCTTGCAGCTGAAAGGGGATAGGAGCCAGCACAAAAGAAATGAAAACAACGAACTATGAATTTCTTATTTCTTCTAAAATTGTCATCACGATTGTTGCTAGGACAGCCAGTAGTGGTGACTGTTGTCTCCTTGTAAGGTTGTAGATCGAGAGAGGGCAGGAAAACAGTGCTGCAAGAACCTGTGTGACAGCTACCTGATCCAACAGCCTTTCTTTGTTCATCGAGGAATCAATGCATGCAGTACCAAGCTAATAGATCTGTATTAGTTCTAAGAGTTGCAAAAAACACTGGGCTGTTAGAAAATTATGATCTCAAATCTAGGTTTGTGCTGCACCCATTTGCTTCATTTTGCAGTGCTGCAAAACATATTAAACACTAATCCCCAAATCACTTACTCCCAAAGAGAACCACTGCCTTCTGGGTTAAGCAATTTGAAGGTTACAGTTTTACTGTAAATAGAACACGACTGCAAGGAGAGGCTGAACTGCTCTGGCAGGGAATATTTTAAATGAACTATGTCACACCCTAAGAAGAGTATTGTAGAAAAATATAATTTTCTTCTTAGTCCTCTGTTATGAAACATATGATGGCATTATATTAATGGGTCTTTAAAATACATGACTTGATAGTAAGTGTTCATACATCAGATTTTAAAGGACAGTTCATCTGCAGAAATTTACATTTCAAAATATTGCTTGCATTAGCAAGCAAAATTTCTGCACACAAACAGATAAATAATACAAGCATACGCTTATCATTTTCACAGCTAAAAAATTACATTTGGTTCAAAGTACCATCTAGCATATAATGTGACAGGCTATACAATCCCTAAGAAGATATAAAGTCTCTAAACAGCTTAAATCATTTTATTTTAAAACAGATGATATAGTGAAATTCCTGTGTGTCATAAAGAAATTAAGTTCAAAGGGATACAAAGATTATTTTGCAAACACCAAAGACCCTTGGTGTGCCCAGTAGATTTCTGTACTCTTTGAATGGCAGGTCCTCATGATGATTTTATTTATTTGCTTGTGTACAAAATTTATATCCTGCCCTTTTGCACTCATCAGGGCCACTAAAGCATCTTACAGATTAAAGACATACATACATAAAAGAACATGCCTTAAAGGCCATTAAAACCAAACAAAAACACTTAAAACCAAGCTAAAATACACGTCGTGGTGGAAAGTGCTGTCAAGTCACAGCTGACTTATGGGGACCCTGTAGGGTTTTCAAGTCAAGAGACTTCAGAGGTGGTTTGCCATGGCCTGCCTCTGCGTAGCAACCCTGGATTTCCTCAATGGACTATCCAAGTATGAGCCAGTCCAACCATGCTTAGGTTCCCAGACCGGACAAGATCAGGCTAGTCTGGTCTATCTAGGTCAGGGCAAAAAAATACACATACACTACATTAAATGAACACACATAAAAACAACAATTAAAGCATAGGGAGGGAAAGATGGATCACTGAGAGAATGCCAAACAAAAAAACTCTTCACCAGCTAGTGGAAGATGGGAACAGAAGGGGACAGGTGAGTCTCCCTGAGGATAATGTTCCAGAGTTTTATTGCCAAACTGAGAAGGCCCTCTCCCGGGTTGCTACTGGCTAATCTCAAAAAGCCAGGGCACTCAAACCAAGGCCTTAGAAGATGATCATAGTAGTTGGGCTTCTTTTGAAGTTCCTTTCCATTTCAAAAGAA